CGATGTATTTTTGATCCTTCCCAACAAACAGATCAGAGAGATCTTTTCCAACAAAGTGTCAACAAACTGTCTGCACAGACAACTCCCTCCTCAGTTTGTGTATTATGTGGTTTGTATTATTTTTATTCCTCGTTAAGTGTCACACTTGTCAAAAGAGTGAACGCCACTTTTCCATAGTAACACGGTTTTGTGATGGAAGTTGTGAAACCTTCAAGACTTACTGGATATTTGTGGAAATATCTGTATCTGCTCAAACATTAACACCGCGAGCTCGGAAAGTAAAGGAACGGATTTCTGTGTTTTCTTTTTCAGCAAGGTATCAAAACTGCTCCTAAAATTTAGACATCTTTTCCTCTCCAAGAAAAGACAAAGACTAACTAATCAACTGGTATTTCTTTCATTACACCAGATGAAGAAAAATTACTTAAAACTAATTCAAAGTAATGATAGAAGCCAAAAATTACTTTTTATGTAGTGACAAAAAACTTGGAACATGAGATTATGTTGAGTGTGAGAGTGTCTATAAACAGAGCTGCTTTATCCCATCTGAGCTGTTATTGGTGATGCCAATAATCTGAGTTTGAAGATGAACTCTGCAAATCTGCATGTTTTACTACTCACTTCCAAATTATGTAAATGAACACCACATTATACTATACCTTGTTGGAGGTATAGCCTGATAAATAAATCCCACTACAATTATAATTCATTTCCACCTGACGAATTTATAGAAATCTATAAATAAGAGCTTCACAGGGAGAACCACCAGAGTAGAATGGGAAACACACAGGCACCCAGCACCTTCTAGAACATTCATTTATGTCCCCTCAACACTAAGTTACTGCCATCAAGGCATGGCTTTTCTTTTTGTTTTAAACACAGAGACTGGAAGCAGTAAGTGCTCTCACACACCTTCTAACAACATCAATTATCAGTACAAATACCAAGAAAAAACACCAGGGCTCCGTAACATTTAAAAACAGAGGTCCCATGCAAGGAGAACTTGAGCAGGACTTCAAGTCAAGAAAATACCTTCAACAGGAACAAGAAAGGAGCTCCAGCCTCAGAGAAGAATGTATCTAATTTTATTAGCTGTGCAAATAAAAATATTCAGAAATTTCTATAGAACAAATACCTACAGAGCAATAAAACACAACAGGACACCAGGTACTGCTGGAAAGCAAGCAGCAGTCCTGCACCCTTTTCCAACTACACCACTCACAGAAGTCACCAAAAATCCTGACAGAAACAGAAGAGAGGAGTTTTCCTGTATTAGTAAAACTCCAGATATGAGCCATACTCGCTTTGTTCCACAGAGCTGTGGATTTGATAAGACACCAGCAACTTCAGAGCCAGTCCAGAACCAGCTTTACGTGACAGAACAGTTCAGCTCCTCGCTCTGGAGCACGTGGCACCACACTGAATTAGAATGTTTGTGCCTTATTACACTGTCATATGGTCAAAAAGTTCACACTGCAAGATTAATTAGGACTCTTTAAAGGAAGTACTGCTAAACACATCTTCAAATGAACACTTAATCCTTTCCCTGACATTTATTTAGAAGTGGACTTTTCACCTTTGTGCCACCCTGCTCTGTAGGACATCACTTGCTATCTCAATTAAGCTGCATCAGTACTTTTCATTCCAACTATCTTAACTCTCACCACTCTCAACAGGAGAAAATACCATTTGCTTCCAGCTTCACAGTTTGCATACAACTACTGAGAACTGTTAAATTGAAATAGTGCTCTATCCCACAGGATGAAGGGATGGCCAGGAATAGCTCGCCCTGGAACAGACTGCCTGTTTACACTTCAGCAGCACTGTGCAACCTGCCAGGGAGCAACAGTTACACACCTTTAACATCTCCAACTCAACACACCTGACACGTCTCAATTCCTGTTCTGAGGCTTCTGCATTAATGAGGACAGATGCAGTAACCCATTCCTCTGGCTGCATACAAGTGTTGAGGCACCAACAGCTCCATGATCCACCTTGCTCCAGGCAAAATCTTGCTGTTCGTGAGCTAAACATCCAAAAAGTACAAAATCTTTTACATCTCTAGGCTGCTGTAGGAGGTTTTTATACATACACACATATATGTGATTGGATAAAAATGTTAGAAAAATCGTCTAACAAAATACAATCTTATACATGCTCAAATCAAACAGTATTATTGAAAAAAAAAATATTGTCATTCGGAATAGAGCCTTGAAATTTATTCACAGACTGTCCTGAAGCAAGGTACTGCTACAGACACATTCATATTCCAAATAAATTTGATCATCTGCCTCACAGGCCCTCTGCTGCATCTGCTGCACATCGCCATGCAGCGACAGCAGAGGCAATGCAAGTAGGTAAATTTGGGTAGTGCTGCACATCCCAGAAAGTGAGCACCCACTGGATAAATACCCCTCTATCCCTACAGCTCCAGATACACAGGTACAGAATCCCTTTCTGGAGCCCAGAGCAGCACGGGTAGGTAAAATCTGCCACCAGATTTTAGTGATGAGCAGCAGCGTGGGGTCATCCCAACACCACAGCATACACAGAAATTCAAACACTCCTTAAACAGCCACTCCAGGGCACACCCAAAGCTGCATTTTCCTCTTGTAGAGACAGCTCCCTGTAGTGGGCTGGAATTCACAAGTTTCACTCCTTCCTGACGGCATCAGTAAATGCAGACAATGAAGCTGGAGGCATTAAACACTAATCACAAAGTGGCCACGCAGGGATGAAAGGGGAGTGAAGGCACCAACTCCCTCATACCAACAGCTTGGAATCACAGGATACACAGAGTAAAATGGCTTTCACAGAAGGGCATGAAATTGGGAAAAATCACAGCTAATTTATAATGCAAACTTTGTACAAGAAATTATTTTCACGCACGCAACTATCACAGAACCTTCCCACAAGAGCAAGAAGCAATTCAGCAGCAGACTGTAACCTTAAAATAAGAACCACATTAATTATCCATGAGGGAAAAAAAAAAAAAAGTAAACCCTGTTCTAAACAAGCAGAGTTCCTATACAACAGCTTATTTGTCCCTTCCATCCTTGCTACTTACAGTGCCACAAAACACAGATTGGCACTTGGGAAAGCAGCAATAAGGAATGTGTCTTCTGGAGCATTGTTTCCAACTTCAGCCCAGTCCCACAGAAGCTATAAAAACTTCCAAGTCTGTTAATTCTGTTCTATTTATTGTGCATGTTAAGATGCTACGTAAGAAGTGATTTTAAAAAACTCAACTTTTATAAATAGCACTGCAATTGCTTTGAATTGTGGCCTGCAGCCATCTCCTGCTGTAATCAATGACAAAAATCAACCGACCTCAGCAGCTGCAGGTCACTCATCAGACCAAAATTTGGGCTGGCAATTATTGCACAGAAATACCCAAACCCCTGCTGAAAACTCATGCAATAGATCTCTCTTCACTTTATTAATATCAGGGAAGTCCCACATAATATTCTGAACTGAGTCCCACAAAAAAGGTGGAAAACAGATTTTTGTTGTTACTTAAAATATTCATCTTTACGAGTGAATTATACTTCATTGGTTTAAAAACCACATTGGTTCTACAAAAAAAAAAAAAGGACCTAAAACCAGTAAACCTGTAAAACAGAACATTGTTTAATACTCTTATTAACTGCAGTTTGCTTAATTGCAATATTTAAGTCATGAGCAGATCTAAAATTGTCAGATGCATTTAATTGAAATACTATCCCTAGAGCTAAACACGGAGTGCTTATAATAAGATACATGTTATTCATGATTAGCTAACTGCTCCCTTTCCATGGAAAATCCCACAGAAAAGGCAAGGGAAAGCGAGGGAACAAAACTGCAGTATGAGCTGGGGAGGAAAGGGGAGGTGTTTGCTTCAAAGAGGGTTTTGGTGGGTTTGGTTTGGGTTTTGTAATTCTGTATTTAACCAAGTGATCTTTGCTCCTTTCTTTTCTCTAGTATCTCCAGAAGTTGTCTTCATGTAAAAAATGAAGGAACTTCTTCCTAATTCTTCTCATTCCTCCTCCAAGTCCAAAAACCATAGGTACCTTCATCAAGACATCAACAAAATGCTGAGTCCAAATGAATTGTTACTTTATTAAAAAAAAAAGAAACTTAATTAAGAGCAAACAGTATTTACAAACTGGAAAACACCTACAGTACCTGCACACAGTTCCGACAGAAATCACTTTGATTTATTCTGATGTTAATTTGTAAGTGCAGCACACAACTAAAGAGCATAAGCACAGAAGTCAAAACTAAAATTCCCATTGCATGTGGAGATCAAAAAGAAAACTATATTCTGCAGGAGAAAATGAAGCAAAGTAAGTGTATAAAAATAACAGCCATGTCAATAACTTTCTGTCTAACAAAAGGGCGTATCCTGATGGATACAACACCAAAAAGCTGCTGCTTAAAATAATTAAAACAATATGCTTACTACAAAAAAACAAACCCAAGCAGACATATAAACAAACAAAAAACCTTTTAATTCTCTGTATTTTTTCTCCTTGGTGGTCTGTAAGGAAAATCAGAACAGTAAAATTAATACATGCAGGATAAGATATGCAGCTGAAAAGCTGAACAAGCCAGTAATACACACTTGCTTAATTTGACTTTTTGTTATTTGCTTTAAGATCTCTAGCACAAAGTTCTGCTCAACATATTCTTGCTAGCAACAATCTGCACCAGAATTAGTGTCTCTCAAGTAGCAAGTGTAGCATACACAACAATCTCAATGAGAGAGGCAATTAACAACTGCTGCAAAAAATAATTATATATAAAGATGGTTTGAAAGACAATACTCTATCTAAAATGACCTCGCTGTATTCACAGCACTGATAAAACAGTTTTCCTTTAAAAAAATGCCGTTTTTTTTATTCATCAAAAGAGAAAAGCCCCAAGGTCACCTGTCAATAACAGAACAAACCCTCAGTAAATCACAGTGCTTCACAAATAAATTCCTCATCAGTAATTAAAACCAGGCCTCTCTGGCCCTGTGTTATCAGCTCATCAAATTCATTGCTCATCTAGAATAACAGATCCACATCTGCAGTCATTACAGCATGCCAGATAAATCAATCCTCTCAATGATGCTTTGAGCCATCTCTGCTCCCTTTTAACCAGCCCGATATTTATTTCCCCCTGACACTTCTGACATTCTATTTACTGTAGGCAAATGGAACTCATACGGCACCTTGTAATGGCTTTACCAAACCCCATTGTGGGGCATATCTTCCAAGACTGATGGGTGCAATAAACAAGGTTTTATGGTGTAAGTGTGAGCTTCCAACTTCTTTTTTTCCAGGAATTTGACTTCTGCAGTGAAGATGGTTTATTACATTTGATTGCAGGTGGAAAAAGCTATATCCACTTTGAGACCTGTCAGCTAAAAGCAAGCAGAAAACTTTTGAAATAATATTATTTTTGTGATTTTATTTTCTCATTGATAACAATACAGAATAAACCATCTCCCTGTCAGGACGTGGAAAGCAATGCCATAATTTATCATTCCACCTCCTCCCTCCCACCAAACCAAACACAGGTCTCCTCTGTAAACTTCCAAAAGGTACAACAGCAATATATAATCACCATATAGATCCAAAGTCCAACCCAAGCCCTCCCCAACATTGTTGTTTACATTCAAATCTCAAGTACGTGTGGTTAAGTAGGTACACACATATTGACAGATGAGGTTAAAATGCTTTTGTGGCATCTGAGCCCAGCAAAAATCACAAATTTACTGCATAAACCAGAACTTTTCACTGGTGCATTCTCCAGTAACAAGCATCAGACTGTGGGGTTCAAAAGGAGAACATAAATTGTTTCGTTGAGAATGAAACAAACAGCACAAGAATTACTTTTCAGCATAAATTCTGTTTGTACACTATCACAGCTGCTCTATTTAAGGAAATTTGAGTGCAAAATCTGTTTAAACAAAAAGAAGTCTCCCAGAACGTAACATGTGTTAACAGCTCTGAGGAGTTCAGCAATTTCTAGAACTGAAGCAGATCCCCCTCCTCCGTGGGGGTGGTGTGCTTCCACGTACATATGGACATTCATCCAGGAGATGCCTAAAAGCATATGCCATCCATCCAGGAGCCCTGTTTTATCCTAGAAATCCGGGGTTTCTGTGCTCCTGGGAATGATCCTGTGTATAATCTGACTAAAAGAGCAAATTTCTGCTGCAGGAGGGAGCCCAGCTTACCCCGAGCCAAGGTGCTGCACCTGGAGCCAGCCCTGGGAATGAGCAGGGCTCCACATCTCCTGCTCATTATGCACAGCTCAAAACTGACTTGCATTAAATTAATGTCACAGTGTTAGTGGATCCCTCCTTGAGCATATATTAGAATGTTATTTCTGCATGGCAGCAGTGCCTTGCTCACAGCAAGGTGAAAAGGCTGGGAAAAGCCCTTTTTTGGAACAAAAACAATGCCTGAGCCTATAGGAGGCTATGAATTCTCTGATCCTCCTTCCAACACTGATTCAAAAATGACAGGATATAGTCTTTTCCTTAATGAAAAATCTATATTTATCACTCTATTGTTCTTGTGTACTGATCCTACTGCTCTCTGAGGCCAAAGTTTGAATATATTGGATTTTGAAATAATAGCCCAAGGCTCCAAGATGCTGGGTCATGATACATAAATGATGAGAGGGTTGTTCCCTATTTCTCTGCTTCTTACCACAAAAACAAAATACAAATTCCATGGTGAAGATCTTCAGAAGTGTACATTATCTGCAAAGTGCAAATTATATGGGATATTCACAGAACTATAAATGATAAAATCAGACTATGCTGAGAAAGATTATCTGTCTGGTCTAGGAATAAACCAGTAATTTGCTGTTTAATATCATGAAGTGAAGCCCTATTTCTATGTAACCACAGATGTGAAAAGCTCAACTTATTTGGATTTTTCAATTTTAATTCCAATTGAGTTCACATATAAATTTTTGGAAAGATAAATTAATTTAGGACAAAGATCCAGAGACTGAATTTATCAATCTGTTATACTTCACACTTTGATTCTGAAGTGTATCAAGGGTTTAAAAAGAAGCAACCCCCAAGCTCTAAATTGCTTGTACTAGGAGAATAAAGAGATAAAAAAACCTCATTTTTTTTCCTATAGCAAAATTTAAGACTGATGTTATGATGAAAACATAAAGGGGAAAATCTGGAAAGTATTTTTCACCTTCATCCCATAATAAAACAGAGTTACTATTACAGAGTTCTGTAAAGCTGCACCTTGTATGCTGCTGTAATTCCAGGCTATGGGGAAGAGCTGCCTCTCTGGATTTTGTTTCTCTGAAGTGTCCAACTTTCCTCTGACCTTGAGTGACTCTGGCTGAAGTTTTCCAAACCAGCCACTGAAATACTCCTCTTGCCCCAGTAACCAAGAGACTCTCAGGAGGCCCTGGGGATATAGCTGCTCTTCATGCTTTTTGTCAATTACCTGAAAATGAAGATCTGAGATTCACAAACTACTGGAGCAGTTTAACATCCAGTGCCCAGGGAGAATTAATACCTTGGGGAATTCCTGAGATTACCACAATGCTTAGTGCCACAGAAATGCAAACACAACTTAGTTATGATTAATAAATGTTCTTTTTGAAAATTTAGTTTATGAGTTATACAGTATAAATAGAGCACATGTATAGAAAAATAAAATAAAAATACAGTAATTTCTCATGCAAAAATCCGTACTACATCATTTTGTCCAGGCATAATACATTTCTGGGAATTTTTACCTGTTAAAAAGTGCTTGGATTTCTAGAATCAAATGCAACCTCAGTTCTGCAAATCCACAGCATAAAGTGAGATGGATTCAAAGAAAACCAATACCGTGTCCAACCAGGAATGGAACCAGCTCCTTCCTGACCAGCTGGGGAACAACCCAAGGCTCTTCAGTTGACAGAAATTATTCCCAGAATCTTCTGGGAAAGCTGCTGAACTCAAAGGAGTTTCAGAATGTATTTTTTTTCATAGTACCTATACTCATGACTTACTCTCTCCAATTGTCTTCAGGAAAATAAGAAGAAATTTATTAAAAATGTGTTACAGGGAAAGGTTCTTTCCTTTAAAGTTTGTTTTTTGCCATATAAAAAGATTATTACATTTCTAAAAATTCATTCTTAACATCTGAAGTGGAATCAGAGCAACTCTCCAGCCCAAAAGAACTGCACTATGGAATTCATATCTTACTTTTCTAGATCATTACATATGTATTTCATATTATGCATTCACACACAGAGTGACTGTTTGGTTTGGTTTTTTTAATTATCTTTAATTGCTTACCCAAGGTGAATATATTATGCCATTAAATAAGAATTTTTCAGTGTTGGGAGGCTAAAAAAAAAAAAATATAATCACATGGCCAATGCTCCTGGATACTTCTGCTGTCATTTTTTCACTTTTCCCCTGACAGTTTCCAAGATGAAAGCGCCTCTTGAACCTACAGAGTCCCATATCACTGTTTTCTGTCTGTCCCACAGACTATGCCGAACAATTCCCAACAATGCCTTGTTGGGAATCCTGCTGCTCCTTGCTAACTATTCAGACACACAATTTTACAAGCAGGCTGCCTGTACAGGTTTAGAGACACAGAGACACGAGTCTGATCTCAAATGTGAAGAGACAAGATCCAGTTGTGACACATCTTACTGTTTTCTGAGTAAAAGGAACTACATAAAGAGCCCTCAGGCAATGTGTTTATATTTGAATGGATCCAGAATTGATATGCCCCATCCCTATTTCAGAGGGTTGAAGCTTAGCAGCCAAGTAAAGAGAAGACACGTGAACCACCATGCTTCATAAAGAGGGGCACAGTTTAGGCACCTTCACCACTCTCAAACTATTGCTCTGTCCACTGCCAAAACCAGACATTAACCTTCCAAGATATTAATAACAATACTAAATATCTCCTGCACATACAGAAGGGTACCAACTGCAAAACTGGGCAAAAAATCCACTTAAAAAATACAAGATGAACTCTTCCCCAGTCCTGCTCTCCATGATACATGGCAGACAACAAGGACGTCAACACCAGAGTCTGCAGGAACCAAAACAACTCCTAGAGAAGAATTAACTCAGGTGTCTGGAGAGCCCTGAAATCCCAACTTCACCTTTTTATGGATCACTACTTATTTTAACGACCACTTATTTCTCCTGATTCTTAAAATACGCAGAATATGATCAAGAGAGGTTACTTTGGCAGAATGGACGCTCCAAGGGTCATTTATGTACAGCCTCCACAGTTTAAAGGGGGATGTGCATCCTCCCAGTACTTCCAAGTGTTTTTTCCACACACTTTCCCACAACACTTTCATGCAGCTGCAATTTGAAAACCATTGCATATTCCAGCTTGAACAACACTGAGTCATGGGCAGCTAACCACAGGCCCATGAAGAAAGATGACCTCTCTAACGTTTGTGAGTCATTAAATGTACAAGTTCAGCAATTTCTGAAATACCAAGATCAAAGATTATAACTTTTAAGAAACAGCAGAGCTCTGGGAATATATTAAATTGACCACACAAATATGCTCAGGGTGTCATTTCATGCTCATGCACTGTCAGGCTCTGAAAAAAAGAGATGAAGCAGTGGGCACCCTACTGCAATGGAAAGCAGAGACTGTTGTTTTCTGTTTATCACACTGGAGTTTCAACCATATGAATGAAGAAAGATCTTCACATTATTCTTGGGAAGTCATGGAAACCTGTCCAACACAGCTTCATTCCATATTACCCAAAATTCCAGAAACTGTGCATCATATAATGTACACTGATGTCTGGATCCTTGAATATTTCTGTTTTATTTCTTAATATTTGCCAAAACCTCAGCCCAAAGACAGCCTTATGTGTTTCTACAGAAATATTCAATTACCCAAACCCATAATAAGACCATAGAAAGGAATTAATTTGGATTTCTAGACTAAATTAAGTTGAAATTAGCAGACAAATCAATAACTACAACCACTCCTCTGTAAGAACTCTCATTGCTCTTAATTGTCACAGTTGGCCTAGACCTTACCACTGATACAGGATTTGCTGCAAGATCACGCTAGAGGAAGGACCTAACAGTTTAGTGTTCTGTGCAATAATTATTTTAATATGTAACTTGATTAATATTGCAATAGTCTTTGCCTTGAATGATCGTAAGAGAAAGAAAAATCAAAACAAAAGAGGAAAGAAAGTAGTAGGTATTAACTTTCCTGCTGTTTACTTGGGTATAATCCTTTCCTTCACAAAGTACAAGACCATTAAGCATGAGAGTAATTCAAACACTCATCTCCACTTCTCTCACCATGCCCTGCATGAGCAGTAATCAGAAAGGTCAAGATTGGTCTGAAGTCTCTCACATTTAAAAGACTTCACAATTTGACCATGTTAAGAAACGCTGCTGGATGCTTTAGCAACCATCATTTATGTCAGCACAGAGAACTGGTCACTCTAGGTAAGCCCAAAACTCCAACCACCAAGAGGAAGAACTCACAGAAGTTAAATGACTCAACACTTTCTGAACACCAAGAAAAATAACGAGATGGCTTCACCACTGTACCCATTAATTGGGAAGTCTTAGAAGAATTCTTTCCTGTTCAACTTGCAAGACCAACTTAATTCATAAAATAAATTGTTATCTACCATCTGTTGTCACATATCATTACTCAGTGCAAACTGCCCAGTGGAGAGATAAGAAAAACATCTGAATGAGCAGCTGGGTAAGATAAAGCCCTGAGCATGTGCAGACACAGAAAAGAAAAAGATATCCAAGTCCTTACTGCAGATTACCTTCAGCCAATCTGCCTGTGTTTGAGAGTCGGGAAATGCAGGCTACAGATTACAGGAGTTTCTAGATTCCTTGTTGATTCTAAAACCATCTACAAATGGTCTCTCAGCAGATGCCCATCTCAGGAATCCTGACCTCAGTACCACTGTCCTACAGACTAAAACACCTTGGCCAAAAGCCATCAGGCTTAGGAAATTCAGCCACACAAAGAATGGCAGCTGGATGCTGTCCAGCACGCTCTCCATTGACTTATCAAACACTATCAACCCTAAGCACAAAGCCTCTATTTCTATCTATTCTTGTGGTGTCTGGATCCAGCCAATCAAAAAGACACAGAGGAAAGTAGTCTAGGATTGTTCATTCCTTAATTATCATAGAACTCCTACCCAAAGGAGTACCAAAGGATAACAGCTCTGCTCAAAGCCCTCACTGCGATTTAAATCCTATTGCGGAGTGTGTTTAATTTAGTAGTTTGTTAATTTATGGCTGTACAGCTTGTTCCCGTTACCCAGAGTTGGTTTGCCCCCAAACTGTATCCTCCCCTACGCTGCCCATAATGTGACCCAACCCCTCATACCCAAACCTTCCCTGCCTGTCACAGCAACCCCACCCCTTCTTCCAGACCCTTCCCTGTCAATCCCACTGGGCCAATCCCTGATTGCTCCACCCCTCTGTCAATCCCTGACCCTCAGTGCCCCACTGGCCCATGTGACCTGTTCTCTCCTCCCCCCTTCCCTTATTGGTCCCTGGGTTATAAACCCTGCCTCATGCTCCACCCCCTGTGGGTTAAAAATTTGTACCCACGCCCTGAAACCTCCCAGTATTTAATCGCCAGCAGAGAGGCCCTGGGGCTCTTCGTCCCTGACCCCTTTGGATAATAAATGTGTCCTGGAACCCACACAGTGCCTCCTCCTCGTCCTTTACCCCTTCCCTGCGCTGACAGCTTAACGTGCTGTAGGGCAGCAGCTCTAAGGTTCAGTCCTGCTGCTCAATTCAGGAGCTGTTCCCACCCTTGGCGTGGTGCCTTGGTGTGGTGAGCTGGCCTGGGACTCCAGCACCGTGTCAAAATGCCTAATGGGTCCCAGAACCTTTTAATGCAATTAGGAATCCCATGTCCTTCTTCAGTCTCCTATAACTCTGCTAAAATATATTTAGACCTTATATGTTACTTACAGAAATATTCAGGCACGAAGACTTGGTGCAAATCCTCTTCAACAAGGTGGTCTCAACTTTCCTTTTGAGAAGAATTTGAGGGAATAATGACGAGTATACAAAGACAGATGTGAACTGATTTAAATCAATCCTATTGCTGGAAGGTACAGAAAGAAGTGAAGCCTTCCCATCCATGAAGTGTTTATGAAAACATTCCACCAGCAATTTACGTCTGTGTCAGACAAATGGAAGCAGTGTCAGAACTTGCATTCTTTATGCTAAACCATCCAAAAACAACACAGAAAAGCCAGATTATCTGCCCCAGTCAGCATTTTAATTTTTTAAAACTCATTTGTGTGAGGTTTTTCATCCTTCTTAAATCCCTGTGACATACGCCTAAGCACTTACAAAAAGATTATTTTGACATCCTTGCTTTTGGCTTCTTTGGGGGAGGGGTACCTACCTTGGTAAAAGTGTTTCACACCTTCCTGGCGAAGTTAAACTCCTCAGATTGTATCAATACACGGGGGCACAAGAATGACACACAGGCAGGGAAGCTAAGGTTCCTTGAAGAACAAGGCACACGTTGGAAGATGTCTTGGGGAATGTGGAAGGTACTGGTTACCTACATACAGCATCCTATGAATTCATACACTCTCATGCATGAATACTTTAACACGTTTATAAAGAAATTCATACATTCTCATAGAGGAATACCTGAAATTTCAGTTAAATCTCTAGAATATTCTTATTTTATCAGTTAGCCGCACTTTAATCATGTACAGAAAGTACAGTAATAATTGAATAAAGGGAAAACAAGAACAAACACATTACCAAGCTCTCAGGGCTATCATCTGGTATGAGTTGGTTTCTTCATCTCGTACACACTGATAGTTTGGGCCCAATGTGGGAATGGGCCTTAAGCAGGAGGATCTGCTTATAAAGGCGTAACTTGCAAAAACCAGAATATGCTTATGGAATAGGAAAAAGAAACTGAGCAAGCTGGGCTTAAATACTTGAAGAAATCAAGGCATGATTATTTCATCTAAATATCCTTAAAATATACATTTATGATAGCTTAAATATCTAAATTTAAAGGATTTTACTTGAAGGGAAACTCCACAAACAAGACACAGGACACTGAAGAGATGAGCACCCTCTTCACTTGGACACTTGCACTTCTATATTAAAATGCAAAGCTTTAAGTTTCTTTAACCAGCAGTTAAGTATTCAAAAAAGAGAGACTGAGGTATGTGAAGTATTTAACAGGCTCAGGACATCTACCAGTACAAGGACAAGCACTCTGATAAAAAACAAACTACAAATAAACATATTCTGTCTTTCAAACCATTCTATTACTAAAGCCAAACGCAGAGACAGTTGCACTCATTGTTTATGAGAACCAGAAGAGAAAGTACTAAGTTAATAACAACAATAATAATATAGAATTGAAAGTTAATATGGAAAATTATAGGCAAAGATCAGACACAAATCCTCTTAAGAAAAACAGCAATAGAACAGGACTAGAAATAGCACAGCAAGCCTTTATTATTGCTTTTTGAACACATACACAAATTTATCTTGTACTGCTATAGTACTTTCAGCAGTTTCATTGTCAGGTCCCATTTTCTGCTTCCTCCGTTCTCCCCTTCTCCTGATTCAAAACCATCCCTTTAACACATCATTCCTAATTAGATGATTAGTGCTTGGAAGGGCAGGAGATAAGTCATTTGCATAATTTAATCATAAAAAGAAGTTAAAGATACAGATTTTGCTGTTCGTTTGTACAATTATCTTCACCAGCCTGGGGGGCTGAGATATTAATGTGATTAAACAGTATTTCTGCAAACAGGCAACTGTGTGTCCTCTATTAAAGCAGAGCTGGAGGCAAATGAAAAATTAATTTTAGAAGACAATCAATTTTATTCTACATGACTGTAATAAATAACAGCCCATCTGCAGACAAGTCATTAGGCCCTGGGAGGCTACACGTGTCACAAAGTCTAAATGACACACAAGACCGAATTTTCCACCAAAACCAGAGTCATAAATAGCCCACCAATGGCCATTCCCCTTCAGAGATGCACAGGATTTCCCAGAAAAGCCAGGTGCACATGTGAATTGCTAATCACCAACCACCATTTGGGTTTGTACAGCATTCACACAAATACAGGGGCTTGGTGCTTTGCCCTTCATGATGTTTTCAGTCTTTCCTGAATTCTGCAAGAGTAAATCAAGATTTGGCTAAATAGCCAGGATGATGCCATAACCTCTATAAAATCTATGTGCTAATTAAATACGTAATAAATAACAGTTTACTACTTTTTAAACTGTTAAGGTCCGTGAAATTATTTTTAACTATTCCATCCATGCAGTCACCTCCACTTAGAATATTAAAATCCACTCCCCAATTAAAAATAACCTAGTCTCAAATACATGAAATATGATTATGCTCGAAGTAAGGATTTCTGAATATCAGCAACGTAAAATATATGCACAGCAACAAGTTTCCAGTATTCCCTATACTAAAATGGTTTGTATTTATCACCACTGGTAAACAATGGAAAAAATTAATATTCCTATTCACCCTGTAATCCCTGATTCTTGACAAGTGTTTACCAGGTAATGCAAATAAACATCTCTTGACTCTCACTGCTCCTGGCCCGTGTAGTGCCTTCCATCACAGAAATGCAGATACACAGATCTTCACTGGAAAGGTTTGGGATTCTATGCACTTTCTCTATAAAAATACATGGACTTAATAAAAATCTGTCCAAACATGAGATTCACCAAATGCACAGGGGATACAACTGATGTCTCAAGGATTGTTTCATAATTGCACTTGCAAATCTGCATGAAATGTTTCCTGATGTGGCCCTCAAACTTGCATATTAATTCATGGCTACGCATGGAGATTTGGATGCTTTCTATGCTACTGTGAAAAAAATCAGTGAAAACACTTGGAAGAGTGGTTCTTTAATGGTTCCACTGCAGGATTTCACCTGCAGTGAGTCAAAAAGACAAAGCAAAGCAATCTCCTCCTCCATGAGAGATCCAAAGCCTTTATGTTTATTCAGTCTCCTCTGCAGTCTTACACAGAAAGCACTGGCTGGGCCAGGACATTATGAAAAACCAACAGCAAAAAACAGGAACTTCCAAATTTTGCCCATAGTCATAAAACCAAACTAAGCAATCAACCTAAACACTTAAACAAAAATACTCTTTGCTCATCTACTGTGTGTAAACTTGCTTCCTTTCACTCAAATTCTCATAGCACTAGATACTACAGGGGATTATTCTGGAAACGGAAGAGCCAACAGAAGCATCAAAGAAATCCAAACAAACACCAATGGTCAAGAAAATCTTTAACTTCTTGAGCTTAAAAGACTCTTTTAAAGTTTTTAAGACAACTCAGTAGCCAACACAACAATGAAACCTGCGAGTGGTGTCTGCTGTTTGTGCATTGAGTTATTGCGTTGTTTTTCTGAATGACAGGTCAATCTAGATGAGGAAGAAAGATGAAGCTGTGTGGCCACAAGAACCTGAAGATGTCAAAGAGAAATTCTGTGACAGCCAAGGATGGGGGAAAATGATCACAGAATAGGCACATTCAGACCCTAATATAACACACTACTTAAATGAAATGCAGACCTGGTAGAGTAATCCCCTTACACAGCTGGCTTACATGTGAGACTAAGCAGCAGAGATGCTCATCCCAGCCAGGCATTTAATTTGTTAATAGCTAAATTTCATAAAAAAAACAACAAAAATAAGGCATTTATGCTATCAGAAACATCATGTGAATGAATAAAAAGTTCTCATTAAGAGTTTCTATCCAGATCAGAATATACCAGTGTTAATAACTCACTCAACTGACCTTCCCTCAGTGAACACAAGTTCTTAAACACTGCTTTAAAAGTCTAATGCCATAATCTGAACTACTCTATTGCACTCTCTGCATTACTCAAGAAAGATTGTTACAATTAATGTCTCACCGGTATTTTTTGTTTTGCTTCCACACCAACATGAATATTCTTTCCTTTAAGGATGAATAACTAAGATGGAGCAGTTTATTACAGGGCTGTGATTGTGGGGTGGGAGAGGGACATGCAAACTAAATTTTGAAGAACACATATCAAAAAAGGGCAGGGTAAGTGGATGACCAGAAACCCTCTAGTTAGTTAACCCTCATGTAAACATGCAAGAGAAAAGTCATTCATGAAATTGCAAGACAGAAACGTTTGTAAGCTCCAGCAAGAAGAGATTTGTTTGAACCATAAGTCAGTTGTGCAGCCAGTAAAGCAATTCATAAAAACAGAGCAGGAAGAAGTGACAGTGATGCTGGTTCTGAGACAAGAGATGTCAGCTCATACAACAGCAGGATCAATTAATGCTCTTCAGCACTGCTGACCACAAGAACAAGTGAGGTTTGTAGCGTGTCACAGCAACAATTCTGGCCAAACCCTTGCTGAGGGCTCCTGCAAGAGGCACCATGGCTGTTGAGAGCCGCACATCAGCACCCAGGCACACACCTGGAATGCAGCAGGGGAGCAGAAGGTGCAGACAGCCTGTACTGAGCTCTCTGCAAACAGTCAGCCAGCCTGGGAGAACATAAAAATCATTTTGTAATGGCAGGATGCTCAACTCAAGGGATTTTGGTAAGTCACCTATTAGATATGTGAATTGTCATATCAAAATACCCAACAAATAAAGCCTTACAAGCCGAAAGACTCCCCAGACCTCCAAATACATCTTTCAGCAACAAGCTCATACAACAGAGGGAACAGAACACCGAGTTCATTACCCTGGGTCCTGTTTCAGTATCCATATTCTGCTCCTTTCTACCTGCCAGTATTCTACCACCTTGCTCTGCTCTGGCTTTTTATTGCTGGTTTTGGGAGGTTTTTTGTGTTTGGGGGAGGGGTTTCAGTTTTTCTTGTTTAGACATGTATTTTAAGTCTCACTGGAAAGACTCAACATTTTTCCTGCTCTTCTATTTTCAGTATTATCTCAGCAACTTTTTAGAAAATTGCTCTCCTTCAGCACACAACAACATTTAAAAGTATGAGGAGGAGAGGAGGCAGCTGCAGACACCTGCAGCCCTGAAGAGAGATGCCTTCATCAGCCTCACAGAAAACAACAGGGATAACATTTCACAGACACAGGACATTCTCTGATTAACTGTTATCAAAACAGTCCAATAGCTAGCATGTAAAATTTGCACTAGGCAAAAACAACCACCACACATGTAAGAAAAAGCATAATGCATAATATTTTAAACATGCTGATTAGACATTCTAAATGAAGCTCAAAATATTTTTTCTTTCAACTAGCTTTATCTTCTTAATTAGCAACTCTTAAGTTACCGTAACATACAAGTAACTAAATCCCCCTACTGGCACAACCTCTGTGCCAGGAGCTTTCTTTACAGCCACCTTCATTTTTTAATTGCAGATATATAAATATTCTTCTCTAGGGATGGTGGGGAATAGGACATGTCAGTTCCTCTGCACACAAACAGGATTTCAGGAAATCATCTGTGAGACAGAGGTGGCACAAGATGCTATGGTTGGTTCCCAGGAAGGACAAACACAACAGCAGAGTGTCTGTACTGACCTGCCTGAGTGACTCCTCAGCAGGGCAGTGACCCCAGCAGTGGCTGCCTGTGACATCTACTCCCAACTCCCATGGAATCCAGCCATGCCAATAAAACCTTCTTTCCACAGCACAGTTATTTCTACTCTGCAAGTAAGTTGCTCAGAAAGGCTAAGTCTCAATCCTTGCAAATACTCAAAATCTAACTGGAGACAGCTCAGGACAACCAACTCCAGTTAACCCTGCTGAGACAGAGGAACTGGTCTAGACCACAGAATCCCAGAATGGTTTGGGTTGGAAGGGACCTTAAAGCTCATTCCACCCCCTGCCATGGGCAGGGACACCTTCCACTAGCCCAGGTTGCTCCAAGCCCTGTCCAGCCTGCTCTTGGACACTTCCAGGGATCCAGAGGCAGCCACAGCTACTCTGGGCAGCCAGCACCCTGAACTTGGGCCTTCTCCAGCTCCACAAGGTTTGCCCAGTCCCACTTCTGCAGCCTGTCCAGGTCCTTCTGGATCCATCCCTTCCATCCAGCATGGGACTACCTCACCCAGCCTTGGGCTGCTGCTGAGGGCTCCATCCCCTGTCCCTAATGGCTCCATGTCCCTGTCCCCAATGGCTCCATTCCCCTGTCCCTGTCCCCAGCAGCTCCTTCCCCCTGTCCCTGTCCCCAGGGGCTCCATCCCCCTGTCCCCAGAGTTAAAGAGCACCTGTGCTAATCCCAACCCTGGAACTCCACTGCTCACTGGGCACCACAC